GTGCATTTGCTGTCTTGATTCCCTCCTGCTTTATCTTTGATTAATTTCTTCCAGTCCTGGAAATAGAGGAAATTATCTCTGATAGAGGAAGCTATCACAGTAGCTGTTATAAAATGATGTGGAATGTAAATGACAGTATAATGGCATGTACCATGGGATATGCCAAAGATTCTCATGCAACTGATGATCTTTCAAGGCTTGGGAGGGATGAAGTTGATGTGTGCAGGGAATCTTTAGATACTAAAAGTGTCAGTGATATAGACCCTGAAGATGAGACCAGAATAAGAGTGACTTTTTCGGGTGGGAGGGTCAGTTTTAAGGTAATGAGGCAAAGATGACTTTGGCAGTCCTATCCTAACAGGCTATCCAAGGTCCCAGGGAGCCCCTTAATGGGATGAGGGTTGTAGTTGAACCTTGGTTCTGTGCTGAGATGCCAGGTGCTGCCTGCTTGTTAGAGTGGCCCAAGAGAGGAGAAAGCATGATCATAATAACACTTTGTGTCCTTGAGGCGGTGAGCAATGATCCCCATATTCCTGCTTGGTGAAGGAAAAGCTTTTGTCCTTGTGAGTTCTTCCTCTGTTCAAGTGGCTTGAGCTTCTCCCCCTTCCTGCTGTCAACTTTTGGCATTTTATGAGCTGTCCTGGGAATCTGTTCTTGAATGTAAGGAAATTAATCCCTGTCACATTCCAGCTTCCCCTCCCCGTGCCTTCCTCAGTCCCTTGCCCTGTCCATCTCCTCTTCCTTGCTCTCTGCCCCCCCTGCCCTGCTGTGTGGGACAGTTGGCTGTGGGATCACAAGAAAAGAGATCACAGATACCACTGTCTGTTGGCTGTGGTATCACAAGAAAAGAGAGTGAGGGAGGAAAAAAGAGGTGGGAAGTCAGCTGTGCCTGTGATGGATTAGCTAATTGTTGCTTTATGGTAAGTAAATTGTTTGGTAGTGTCCAGGTCATGCTTTTTTAAGGACTCTGCTGACAAACACACCTCTCTAGTTTTTGGGGAGTCAGGTATGCCACTGCTCGATGGCTGATATCTCTCAACTATACAAATGTTAATTCTGTCTGAATAGAAAACCGATAGTTACGGCTGGGACCCAAGCCTCACCCTTAACTCACTCCAAGTTGTCTCTTTCTTCCCCTCAATTCTTATACAAAATAACTTTCTTAATTGTGGAAACAGACTGAGATTGGTATCAGTGTAAATCCTTAAGTGTAAGCTCTGTCCTAATGTTTTTGCATGAATGCAAGGTATTGAATGTCTTCAGGGGTGCTTTTCTTGGTGGTTATTTTAGACAGAAAAGTCTAGACAGTTCTTAGGATCTATTGCACATCTCTACACCTGCCAAAATTTTGGAGGGAGTTTTGTTCAAATTACACTGCTGTTCATCAGAAAGTGCTATATGAGTTGTGAAAACCTAACTGAATTAGTCTGTTTCTTCCACTCTCCCGCTCCCAGATAATCTCTGCTACTAGTGTTCTGAAACTTGAATAATATTCTGCAATTGCTATTTTTATTTATACCTTTCCTCATTCTCTAACAATTACATAAATAGAAAGGACATTCTTTTGTGCATGATTTTGTTGTATGTGCAATAATGTAAAGATTTCACACGTGATTGAGACAAATGTTTTTTAAACACATTTTGAGTTGAAAATTAATAGGTTAGTTTTGAGAAAGGCTCTTCTGTGGATAAAGGAGATAAATATAGATACCTTTTTTCAATGTCAGTCTTAATTGTGTTTTTTTCAGAAATACAGAAAACTACTTTCTTGCTTGAACCTGCTAATATTGCACTGTTGAAAATGACCTGGCATGTAACAAAGCGTCTTTCTAAGTAGTGTAAGAATTTATCCAAGTAACCTCTACTTGCTTTTTATTGTTTTTAATTCATCTAAGTTCTTCAGCAATTGACAATAGCAAGTCTCCATAAGGTTCTGAAGTTCATGGAAAAATACTTGGAAAGAGTATAGATGTGTGGAAGAAGGGGAAAATAGGCAGCTCATTTAGACTACTGGTGACATATGAATGCTGATTTTAAAACTTAAATATTATTAAAATTCATTGAATTGGGTTATGAGTCCTTCCTCTCTTCTCTCTTCCCTCTTGGGAGCGTGGTTTGCACATGATGTGTTTGGTTCCCTTGTGATTAGACAATTAGATTTCATTCATATAATGGAAAATTAAACTATAGGCTATAAAATGTGGTTGCAATCTCAACTAAAATGTTTAATATTTCCCCCTAGGTTTCTTAGTAAAAACAATAGCAATTGTCCTAATGCTGGTAAGCTCATCTTAAACTATCTACTAGTGCATGAGTTAGCGGGTCTGTCTTTACTTCCTGCTTTGCACAGTTTTGTCATTTAATCTTAAATACAAGTCTAGCTGAGCATTTGTGCCACTGTGTTGGCTATTTTGAGTCAGCATTTGTGCAATTTTGGAATATCTTATTTTATATAGTCCTACAGTGTGGTTATAAAAGTACTGTTTTTAAGGGCTCTTGATTACAAATAAAATTTTAAAGTAGCCCTTCATTTTTTTAGTAGACCTTCAAGAATGGGCAAGCATGAGTTTAAAAAAGCACAGGCAAATGAAGACTCATCGTTGTATTTTTGGGGAGGGTATATACATTTGAATCTCCATGATTTAGCATAAAATGAAGTTCTAGAAAGGATATTAGGCAAAATCCAAACTGCATAAAAAGCTTTAAAAATAAAGCTTTGACTGCATGCTGAATGAAGTGTTTTATTTTACGTGTTTGTGTAGTTTGTAATGGAAACTATGGGCTTACAAGAGCAAATTATGGGAAACAGTGGTCTGTGAGGCAGCAATAAAAATTGGGAATGCCAAATATGTGCACTGTATGTCATTCATGGTTGTGAATTTGTTTGAGAAAATAAATTGTTAAACAATGAAGGCCAGTTATTTTATTTTATTATTTTTCCTGGGAAAAGAGTTTGTATAGCCTAAGGAGGAATTTGGTGCCTGTGGGAAAGAGAACAGTGGGCTCAATTTTCAAAATTTGTGCAACTTTGCCAAGACATATGGGAAGAAACAAGAGTGCACCCTGAACAACTGTAGCCCTGGGAGACTGCTAGACTTGCATGCAGGTTTTTCCTTTCATAATGCACTTAAAAATCAAGCTGTGTGCACTGGTAGCTCTGCACAGGGAGGAGTGGAGCTTGTTCAGCCAGATGTTGATTTACTCTCATAATTAAGCTTGCCTGAGTCGTGTGAAGGGGTGTCTGTCCTCATGCACTTGGAAGGGTGAGTGGTGTGTGTTCAGTCAGGCTGTGCCTTTGGGAGCCCACCCTCTGCACACCTGCTGTGCCTTTGGGAGCCCATCCTCTGCTGTGCCTTTGGAGCCCATCCTCTGCACATCTGCTGTGCCTTTGGGAGCCCATCTTCTGCTGTGCCTTTGGGAGCCCATCCTCTGCTGTGCCTTTGGAGCCCATCCTCTGCTGTGCCTTTGGGAGCCCATCCTCTGCTGTGCCTTTGGGAGCCCATCCTGTGCACATCTGCTGTGCCTTTGGAGCCCATCCTCTGCTGTGCCTTTGGGAGCCCATCCTCTGCACATCTGCTGTGCACAGGCGCTGTGGGGAAGCAGTGCCTGCTCCTGCCGCTGTTTGGGCGTGAATTTGTTTCATGTGACTCCTCAAACCCCCTTTGTGATTTGAGTCAAGTGTTTACTTGGTGGTAGAGTGTGCTGGGAGTGCTTGTTTTCCAGGCTGCTGCTGCAGCTCCACGAGTGGAGCTGAGTGCTGGTGTTTTCGTTTCTCTGTAGTTCAGGATGCCGTTCGTGTTTCTCATCTGCTGCGTTTGATATCCTGTCCACCTCAATGGTTTCCTTTTGAACCGGAGTTGTGCATAAACATCCTTTATTCAAGTAAAGGTTCAACCTTTTTTTAAAAAGGAATGGTAAAACAATGTAGCTGTATTGGACAATACAAAGAAGATGTCAAATGTGTTATTTGAATTTTTGCTCATGTCAACTGTTTTCAGTGAGTGTGGTATATTCCTGTGAAACAGACCTAATTGGGTCTGTTCCTTTTGCTCCAGCCAAAATATTGAAGGGGAACAGAGTTACAAGAGCACTGAAACATTTAAAAAATAACACATCCATCCAAATTCTCCCCCAGATTGTTGCTGTTCACGGGCTCTTAAACAACAGAGGAAATAAGGAAAATACACAAGGAAACAGGATTAACACATGAAGCTTAGAGTAAAATGAGATAAAAACCAGAAACACTTTCTGTAATCACTTGGAAAAACCTACTGTAGAAAACAGGATCATAGAATCATTGTTTAAAGTGAGGATTTTGGGGATATTGCTGGGACAAAATAGTCTAAACTGTTTTAAAAATACTTCTAGATAGAAAGATGATTTAGATTTCTTACTGGTGTGTGTTGTTGATCCTCAGAAAGGGGAAGCAATGGCTGCTTCAGGAAGCTGCAGGCTCTTATAAATCAAGGTAATAATGAGACTTGAGCCAAACATCCTTTTGATTGCTTTGCCTTTGTGTTTTATTTTTTTTTTGGTCATTTTCCTTCTCATCAGTTTATGCTGTTGTTTCTTTGCTTGTTTAACAGGCATTGGGCAAGATCCTTCTTCTTGCCTTGCCCTGGATGTTTTTTTGTTTGGACGGTTGTTATTTTTTTGTTGTTGCTGTGGATGCCCCTCAGGGTTTGGGTTACCTGGTGTGTATGCCCCTTGGTCACTTTGCCTGTGCAGACAACAAAGCACATTTTTACTGGCTGAGCTTGATCCACAAGGAGCAGGCAGGTTGTGCCTTGACTTAGGTGACCCAAAGATCCCCATAACGTACGTGCTCTATTTCTGTGCTCCTGTGGCACAACCTCAGTCACTGCAAGTTTCATTCATAATTTTGCATTGTATATTATATGAACTTTAAATTTCTGCCTTTTTCTAGATTTTTTTTTTTTTGGGAGGGGTTTGTTTGTTTGTTTCTAATGTCCCTTTGTCTCTCTTTTGTGTTTTGGCAGGCCTGGATGATTGCCTGCAGCAGTATGTCCATAAATTTGAACGGGAGAAGATAAATGGTGAGCAACTGTTACAGATTTCTCACCAGGACCTTGAAGACTTGGGTATCTCACGCATTGGACACCAGGAGCTGGTTCTAGAGGCTGTGGATCTCCTGTGTGCACTGGTTAGTTACACTGTGAAGAGATATGCAAACAGTTTCTTAAAGGGCTTTTTTGGGTGGATAATCAATGCAAGATTGATTAAAACCAGAATACCTTTGTCTCTTGCTTTCTGTCACACGTCACAATAAAACAAAAAAGTCAGAATTTGTTTAATTCTTGCAAGTTTTGTATTAATAGCTCTCTAACTTTTTCCTGATAAGAGACAACTTCAATTCATTTGCTTGCATTTCCAAAGGAAGAAGTTGTCTGAGGGATGTTGTTAGATCTTGTGGCTCCTGGACAGTTTGTCTTAGAAGACAGAAAACACACTGTTGAAATGACAGATGCTATAAGTTCCTCACATCAGTTGAAATGGGTTTAGAGTAATTCTGTAGCAAACCTAGGAAGTGAAGAAAAATTAATTCTTGAGGTGAGGGATGTTTTGCCAGCTCAGTTACAGTCTAGCTGAACTCTTCACTGGATTCAGAACTTAAGCTGTTCTTTTGTCCTACTCGTGATATATAACTGCAGATACTTTGAAAACAAACATGCTCTGAAAAGCATAAATATATTTTAGATTGTTTTACTTGTGCAGGCTTTATTCAAAAGCCATATTCTGGTCACAGCCTTGAGGCCTGTGATGCAGTGCAGTGTAATGAGCAGCAGAGGTATATATAATTACATCAGGGAGGAGGGTGGGAAAGCCTGCCTGTGATTCCTTGGCCAGCAGTGGCCTGTCTCCCCTGCATTAGGCAAGGTTTGGAGCAGCCTGCATATGCTTCTTGAAATGGAGAGTGTTTATTGTCTCTGTGATATGTGCTTTATTTGCTGCAGAGAGGTGCTACAGGGAGTGTTCCTACTCCACAACCTGGAGCAAATTGTACTCAAAGAAGCACATTTAATGCAATCTCTTCAAACGATCTAAAATGTTTCTCAAAAAAGTTACTCTTATACTTGAAAGACATTTTATTTCCTTTAGGTATTTGATCTACCAAAAAATTTTAGCATTACCTTGAAAACCTAATTGAAGAATGTAGCTGGACTGAAAAGCAGTTTGTGGCGTGGGAAGGAACTTGTTGGGCAAGTGTGGGAGTCTGGTGAGTTAGTAAATGTAGTGTAGGCTGTATATGGTCCTGACTGAAGTCATCTATGTGGTAGTCCCTAAAGGCACTTTTTTATTCGCTTAAAAATATTAGAATAAAGTGAACAAAGCTGGACAGCTGCCAGAACCTAAAGCTGTGTTTTATCTCTTACAATTTCCTTCTAATTTCCTTTGTAGACAAAAGTTTTGACCTCAGACCCATTTCTGGAAATCCTTTGTGAAATGCAGCTCAAGTTAATGCGTTAGACAGATATTGCATATAACAGCTGAAGTGTACTTGTTCCCTTTTTAAGAGGTGAAGGAAGAATTCCTGTGTTTTCAGTATGCCCTTTCCCACCTTCTTGATGCCTGTTCCCTTGGGTTTTTGGAGCTGCATAGAATCACCACTGATTTTGTTTCCAAGGGGTACTTGGAATGCTAGTGGCAACTAAATTTTTTTGTTGTTTCTTCTTTTTGTGCAAGCGAGAGGTTTCCTGATTCCACCTGCATTAGTTCTTTGAAAGTGGGAATGTTTATTGTTTAGTGGATGTTTTGTACATATGCTGACACTTCCCCAACTTTGGGGCCTTGTAAGCAAAGGAACTATTTTTTTTCTTTTTTTAATACTTTTTTCTTTTTTGTTGCCCCCTTTTTGACCCCACTGCCACCCCCACTAAGCTGTCAGCTCACACTGTGGTGATGTAGCATTGGCTGGGCCAGCCTGCTGTCACTCTTTGCGAGGTTGTCATTCTTAGTGGAGAAAGGCTGAGAGGGGATTTTGGTGCTTTCCCAGTCCTGGAGTTCCCAAGAAGAATTTTCCCTTTTACCTAGCAGTAAATTCTTGGCAGTTCCTCAGCTAAGTTTCCTTCAGGTCAATGCTTTGGTTCCCTCACACCACAAGAACACTTGTGGCTCTGCAGGCAGTGAGGAAGCTCTCTTTGGAACCTCTTTCTCCTGCAGTATCTCTTTTCAGGCATTCACCATAGAGACCTTTGTTCCAGCCTCCCTAGATCAGTCACTAAATAGAGTGTGAACATAGTCCTTGCCTTGAGAGAGGACACCAAATGCACCTGATTTTTTAATTCAGTTTTTCTAGGGACTGATTACTATTTGGCAGCACTGAGCTAAAAATGTGTCTGGAAGTTTCTGGTGTGAAAAGGAAATAATTGGATCTTTCTCTGCTGCTTTGGTGGTGAAGCAGTGTTCCCTCATGTCCTCATGGCAGTGGCTGCTTATGCAGCATCTTGAAGAGTCAGCAGGAGAGTGCAGACTGGAATACAACATTTCTGTTGCTGTTGAGCTGGTCTAATAGAGTTTTCTGAACAGGTGTTGGAGACTTATTTGAGGAATTTAGAGGATTTATCAAAGGACCCGAATTCCCCTGAAGAGGGGAAAAAATCATCAACTTGAGTATTTCAACTTTTTGTTGACAGTACTGCTTGGTGGGGGGAGGGAAAGGGATGGAAGAAAGATCATGTTTCTTTGTTGATTGAAGTATTTGGGGGAGAGGGGAACAAACATACATAACTTTGCTTTTCAAACCACAAAAGCAGGGACAGAAAACAAGCTTTTGAGGGCTTAATGAATATAAAACAATGTAAGCAAGAAACTATGCAAATATTTTCACTTGTAATGTGTTCTTTGGATTTGATTTCTGAATCTTTGCCTACACTGTATGATGGGAGAGTTTGGAAACAAAAATGCACTGAATTTTTTTTGAGGTTAGAATAAAAAGATGCTAGTTATATACAATTTAAGAAAACACCCCAAACCCTGAAAAAACCCATAAACAAAAAAAGGGACATAGTTGTGCCTTTCATAATTTTACTGGTGGTAGTGTTCTGCCAGCATGTTTGCAGCATAACAAAATATAACATCATAACATGAAAAAAAAAAGCATTCATGAACACTTACCCTTTGGGTCCTAATCATTGTCAAAGGGTATCTATGCACTGCCACATAAGATTTTAGTTTTTTAATATGCTTCAAATTTTTTGTTTATTAGGAAATTTACTACTCCAGAGGATTCTTTAGAATGCATTTTTGTTAGAAGGAAAAGAGCAAGAATGGGTGACTGTGACAGTAACTTGTGTTAATTCTTTATATAGCCTTCAGTGAGTTGGGTCAGCGTCTGAGCAAGCATTTGGATTGGTTTTATTCATTTTTTTTCCCAGAGCAGGTTTTCAGTTCAGTCAGCCAGCCTGTCCAACTCATCACATTGCAGCATGTGACCATGGCTGTGAAAGGGAAGAGGAGGCTGTCCCTGGACAGTAGCAGAGCTCTTCATCAGCCCAATTCAGCTCTGACACAACTGCTCTGCTCTTTTGACTTCAGTTAGCCACGTTTGGTTTTTTGTTTTGTTTTTTATCTTTTTGTTTGTTGGCTGCCTGACCTTGAGCCATTATTTGGTCAGATTACTTTTTCTCATTAAATGAGATGGAGTTTAGAAAGGAGTGAACTCTCTCCTGCACGTGTGGGTGCTGCCTCTCCTCCAGCCCTGCATGTGGCTCCCCAGGTTAATGAGTAATAGCCTGGGAATGTTTGACATCAGGTGCTCTTGACCGCTGGCTTCAGCCTGTGTTTAGGTCAAAACAACTTTGATGTTTAAAATCAGGAGCAGTAGTAAAGTGCAACCTTTTTTTTGGTTCATGAGCAACATCTAACAATTACTTAAGCAACCAAAACCTTTTGGTTGCTTAAGTAATGATTTGTTAACTCTTGTAGCCTTAATCCTGTGGAAATATTTCAAGAAAAGCTTGCTAAGCTTTGCACTTGGACTGTGTGTCACTGTGAAGGTTGTTTGGTGTGCTGCCACAATATCAGCATTCCTATCTGTCGTGGACTGGGGCTGCAGTTCTATGACAAGTTCAATTAATCCAAGTCAGCTGCTGTCTCCACCCCCTCCTGTCCTCTGATTAGTGATCCTTTGTGCTTGCACTCACCTGACCCTGAAGTGAGCTACTTCAGGGAGCTAAACCAAGGGATTAGATTTCTTTGTGTTGTTTAGATCCCCAACTCTCCCAACAGACTGGACATTGCAAGTGAAGGAGAAAAAATAGTTGGTGATGTGAGAGCTGGTCAAGAGAGTTTCAGCTTGGATAAAGGCATTGCTGTACCTGGTGAAGGGGCAAAATGCTTTTTGTATATTAAAGCAGAAAATGAGGGGACTGGTGGAGCAGAGGTGGCTTGGGTTGGGATGTCTCCTGTTTCTGGGGTAGTTCATTCACTAGGGCTGATCCACAGTTGTCCAATTTGGGATTGGTACTCAAGAGCTGCATACCCTGTGTTGTGCTGGGTGGGTGTGGTGCTTGGTCAGGACCTTTCCTGAAGCACAAACTGCTGATTTAGCAGTGGAGGTGCACTCTGTAGAGCCCTTGGGGGAAGCTGTAGGAGGGAACTTAGAGCAATGACTTGGAGCTTGGCTGTGATGGGCTCTTGAGAATCTTTTGGAGACACCAGTTGCAGTTATGAGCTGGAGCCCCTGCTCATCCCTAGAGGCTGCACATGTGTTGCTGAAGTCACCCTCAAAACTGAGAACAACTTGACAGAATTATTGAAAAACTACCTGAACTGGAAGAGTCACACCAGACTCACCTGTGGTATAAATAAGGTGAAAGGTGTGATAAGGGGTATGTGAATGTTTTAAGGCCAAGCCCAAAATCTTACCTGGTATATCAACAACACATATCCTCTTAAATGCTGGTGCCACCTCTAATCTCAAGTACCCACAGGTGCTTGGCTGAGTTTCTGCATCTGAATGACAGAAAGAAAGATCTGGAGATACTTAATTACATGAAAACTCTCAAGTTCTGATCAGGGTGATTAGGTTGTACCCCTGCACAGAAAGAGTATTTTCTGTTTTCTGTCCCTTTATGAAAGCAGGGGATCAGCATCCTCTAGTTCCCCTCTTTAAGGGCAGGGTTTCTGATATATGGCTACTTTCTTGTCGTTATGGGAACTTGCCCCACATCCAGACCTGTTTGTGAAAAAGTTTTCCCTCAACAATAGACTAATATTCAATCTTCTAAGAGGAGAATAAAACTAACTGCAAGAAATGCATTCAAATAATGCTCTTGGGGTGCTGAGTTTTTTTGGTGGGGTTTTTTTGTTATTAATTTTGTTAAAATTAAAAGGTGATAAGTTCACACATCACAGTGTGCAAGTACTTTAAAGTTGTTTAGTAATCCAGATCTTTTCCTTTCTGTAATCCTGGAAAATTTAAGGATATCCTTTGCTGTTGCAACAGTGGCATTTTTTAAAATTGGACATATCCTTTCAACCCTTACTCCTGGCTGCACATTAAGGGTATTTCCTTGCCAAGAGCCCTGAGGTGGAGGAGGGAGGCACTTGTGTAACTTAAACCCACTGGGATCTTATCCATGGGAGGCAGTAGGATTTTAAAGGTAGCTGTGTAGCTGACACCTCTCCATACACTGGAGACATGTGTTTCTTTGGGTCAAAGATTCTTACATTTTGTAAATGACTTAATCTGAAATGTTCCAGCCTGCTTTACAGATGCTTCACTCTGGAGGCAATGGAGCTACAAGCCAGCAACTAGGAATTAAATGGAATTAAAATTTGCCTTAGTTGGTTTAAGTTTTTGAGTAGGAAAGTAGGAGTATAGAGTATATCTGACTGAACTATGGAAGTTGGAGTTAGGTTGCAAGAATCTGCAGCAGCAAAAGAAAAGTGAAGGGCAGGACTCTCTTGTATTTTTGTGTGTTTGTTTTGTTCTGGTGGGAGTGGTTTTTTTGTTGTTGTTTGGCACTCTTTTGTTTTTGTTTTTTTTCTCAAGGAAAGTAGGAATTTGAATCTATAAAGTTGAAGTTGTAGGCAAGGCTCTCAGATCTTTGTTTTGTAAATGAATGAAAAATTTGATGTCTAAAAATGAGTTTACCATGTATGATGTTAACACTGTCCTCAAACTTGCAAATAATTGCACTGTTGTAGTCAAGGAGCACAGTTACTGAAAACTGGTGATTCAAATATTTATTTAAGCTTTTGATTGCAAAACTGCATTTGCTTCCTGTTGATGTTTTAATCTCTTACCAGATTTAACTTATCTTTAGTTGTGAATGAAATGTTACTTCAGTGTTTATTTACCACAGGATAGAAATTATTTTAAGAAAAACAAAATGCTTGCTCTTCTTTAACACAAAGAAGAGCAACACATTTAACAAGTAAATGATATCTATTAGGACATTGGGACTTGATTCTGATGAAAAAGTGTCCTTAAATCTCATTAATGACAGAAACTGAGGTTTGGCACTTAGAAAAGTATTCTTTACTGACTACAGCATAGAACAAATCTTTCAAGGCATTATTGCCAAAAAGCCATGAGAAAGTTGTGCAAATCATCAAGACTTTTCATCCTGTGTGAGCTTTTAACTTGTTTTATAATAAATAGGAGAACTCAACAAGGATATTTATCAAGCCTCATAATGTTCCTTGCAGAACTATGGCCTTGAAACAGACAACATGAAGAACCTGGTTCTCAAGCTGCGAGGATCATCCAACAATCTGCAGAACTACATCAGCAGCCGTAGGAAAAGTTCCAGTTATGATGGAAATACCTCTCGCAAGCCCCCCAATGAATTCCTTACTTCTGTCGTGGAGCTTATTGGTGCTGCTAAAGCCTTGCTTGCATGGTTGGACAGGTAAGAATGAAATGGTTATGTTTTAATTTGCTGCTCTAAAGAATTGCTTCTCTTTGTAGGGCCTTTCCTAGATGCTTGGGTGTAAAGATCTTGATGTTGCTAACCCCTTTTTTTTTGGTGTTGCTAGAAGACCTCTAGTGGATAAATTTAACCTGTAGTATCTGTTCTTGCCACTTCCACTCTTGCTAAAAGCAATGAAACTGTTAACGTTGCACTCAAACTGGTATTTATACAAGTATGGGTGTTCCCTTTTAGGTCAGTTTCTCATACACATGGTTCTCCCAGCTTCTAGATTACTTGTCATTGGCAGATCCCTTCCTGGAAGATTTTTTAAATGTTCTGCTGAAATCATGGCCGTAGCTATGTTATTTGAAAACTGAGCAGTGGAAGAGATTATCCTTCTGCTGTTTCATTTTCTCTTTTTGATTGGTCTTATTAATTTTTTTTTTTGGCCTGGAAAGAGCCGAAGTTATTTTGTTACAACTGCAGCAGGTCAGGTGCTGGCAGGGGTGCAGTCCATGATAAGAGATGAACATAAATTCTCAAAGCCCTTGCTAGCTTGCCTGAGAAGGAGAGTTAGGAGAATGACTGCACAGGGACTGGCAGCAAGGTGCACTTTTATCCTTTTTCCTGCTCTCAAGTGAGGACTTGATCTGTGTCCAGGCAGCAATGTTAACCCTTTGCGTCTCTCACCTGGTCCTCTCCTCTCACTCTGTTGCTAGCAGCTCACCCTAAATTATTTTTCTGTAACTCACAGTTATCAAAACTGCTGGCTTGTCCATTTCCAGACCTGCTGTGGTTATTTATCAATACCTCTTCTAGGCTTTGAAACTGTCTGAAAGGTCAGAGGTAGGACTCTCCAGGTCTAAAGCTGCCCTACCTGTAATGATTCTTCTCCAAGTCTCACTGGACCTCTGTGTGTAAAATGTGAAAATCTATTTTTCTTCTTTTAGAGAATCATTTTTCCCTTGTCCAGTCAGAAAGTTGAAGGTTCTCTCACTGGTAAACTCAAGGACAGGGCTAGAAAATTCCCAGTTTTAGTGCAAGAGTGGAGCAGGACTATGCAGTCAGGAATATTTACATTGTAAAACAATCCTCCCACCTATATCAATGATGGAGTTGCAGCACTTACTCCCGTATGTTCTTCCTCACTGGTAAGGTAGGATGGGAGAAGACTGGTCCCTCCAATCTAAGGGGAATTTTCTCTTCTTGTAGGACCCCATTTACAGGTATTGCTGACTTTTCATCAATGAAGAACAGAATCATTCAGCTCTGCTTGGACCTCACTACTACTGTTCAAAAGGTCAGCTGATTTCTTTTCCTCTCTGCTTTCCAAAAGGGAAGGAAAGGAGATGTTGGGGAAGTAATGTGATTGCTTTTTGCTGAGTGCTAATGAAAGGCAGTTCTGGGAATGAGAGCTTACTTTTAATTTTGAACATCCATGAAGGTCAGTTTCAGTTGTCTGTGTTTCTGAGTTGTGGAGCTTTTTTGTTGTTCCCCCTGCCTTTCAATTTAATTATCAATTTTGGTATTGCTGGCTCTGTCTTAAGCTGACTGCAGCTTAAAGGCTACTCTTATTTTCTTGAGCTTTACTGGAAAGAGAAAAAATCTTTGAAATAGTTGATCTGCATTTGAAGATTTTCACATTCCAAGCAGCATGTTGAAAAACAGTTATCAGTGCTAACTCTAAACAAAAATATGGCTCCATTGTTTTTTGTACCTATGTTTGCAGACTCCATAGATCTTGTCTCATGCAGGATGTTTTAGCTATCAAATGGGAAATGCTGCATGTAATGGAAGGAGCTGACACCTTTATGATACAGATCCCACTAGCCAGACTGCTTCTGCCACTACTGCAAGACCAGAATATTTTTCAAAACTTTAATTTACCAGCTGTAGGATGACTGCTTGTATAAATAATAGCTAAAAGGACATGTAGCAGCCGTGGTAATCTTGGCAGCTGACATAAAATTTTGCTCTCTGAATAATGCTGCCTGCTTTTCAGCCTGTTCTGAGAGCATGGCACTGCTGTGGGTGTGAAACACTGTGTGCACACTTCAGTGACTGCCAAACTTGCTCATAACCATTATTCAGTGCCCATGTAATGTTTGAACTCCGGAATACCATGCCCTGTGACATGGGTGATTTGCTCCCCATGCTGAAGGGATGACGTCAAAGGACAGAAACATCCTGAGTTGTCAAGCTGTGATGCCACCCAGTGATGTCAGTTGTCATTGTGAAAGGATGGTGTCTGGCTACCCCAAGGTGCGCATGCCTGCTGCTCAGTGCCCTTCTTGCTGGGGCACTCTGTGTGCAATTGCACAAACTCAGTGATTTACAGCTATAGATGTGCAGATTGTGCAGTGGAACAGTTCATGTTTCTAGCAGCAGATGGTGTTCACCCAAGGGTGCTATAGGAACTGAGATAGGAGATTGCTGAATGTATGAATAGAGCTGCTAAAAAGTGTGTCTAATCTTTCTGTTAGGTCAGCCCTTGATAGCAGGGGAACCAAAGTTGTGAACAGCAACTTTTAAAAAATGTCAGACTACTTCTCTGCCAATTTGATATGAGCCATCATAAAGGATGGGCTTGGTGCATATGAGAAAAGCATTAATGGGGGAAGAACCAACCCAACATGGTTTTGTCCTGGGACAGGGCACATGTACTAGAATAGTCTTAAAGAGTCTCCTGATGTGGAAAAGAGATACAGTGGAAAACTCTTTAGGAGGATTTTTAGACTTCAAAAGTATTTCTTATTAAGACATAGACTACAGAAACAGGTGGTCAGTTCTAATGGTGAAGAGGCCAGAGTGGCTCTTGTGGAACCAATGCTGCTCTGCATAATCATAAATGATGCATAAAAGCATATCATAATAAAGCAAGGCAGGAATGCAAGAAGATTCTAGTTACCTTTGATGATAGCTATATAGATTCAAGGACAGGATTTTATTCCACTTAAAGTTCCATGTCAAACTTTAGGGCTGAAATAATAAACAGGATAAACAGAAATCAGTGGGAGCAGAAGGACTTTGCAATATTGAGCATTTTTGGCTGCATGATGGCATTTGCTATTGATTTGTGCATATGTATTTAGCAGAGAAAAGCAGGGGAAAGTCCTCCACAAACTTCTCCAACATGACTCCTCCTTCAGGCTATTAAAATGCTTGGGGGTTTTCTCCTTGTAGATATTGTAAATCTTGGTCTATTATTTACTTGCTGTTTAAGTTTTTAATCTGAGCATAATACCATTCTCCACTCTTCAGCACTTCTTGCGGAAAACAGTGATGACTTCTGTAGATTTTTACATGAACTTGTTTCAGGACAAAGACTTTTTTACCTGGACTGTGTAAATAATGCCTTGTGTGCAGTCCTCTGCCCTTCAGGAATGTCACTGATAGCATATTTTTTAGAAAATCACTTTCCCTTCTATTTTGAACAGAATGCTTTAGATCCATTTTGGTGCCTGGGACAGAGGAGTGCCTGAGTTGGGGTTTATCAGTGTAAGGCAAGCACCTCTGCCTGGCCTTCTGAGAATCTGATTTAATTGTGCAAGGTTCTGCTTTTCTGGAAAAGTCAGCTGCTGTAATTGAATCCCGCATTCTCTTAGTTTTCAAGGTTTATTATTGCTTTCTGCCAGGGCCAGAAAATAGTTGCTTAATAGTCCTTTTGAGCCCTACTGGGTGAAACTAATCTGACTAATCCCTGCAGCATGAATAACTCTATTTCTATTTGAGGTTAAAATGGAAGTTTTGTAGAGTTTTCAGAGATGATTTGTTTCCATGTTTATTGGTTAATGTAGGGGTTTTGTTCTTGTTTTATTTTTAGGATTGCACTGTGGCTGACATGGAAGATAAAGTCCAGACTGTGGTAAGTTTATGTTTCTGTTGAAACTCAGCTGTCTGCATTCACATTCATTTTGGTTGCTTCTATGCTGACTATTGACAGCAGCTTTTCAGTCCCAAATGCACAAGCATATCATGCAAGTAAACATTACTATGACTTGTTTTGTGACTATTCTTTCCTGTAGAGGAAATCACTGAAATTTCAGCAGATGGATAGTGTGCAGTGAGAGCATAGTCAAGTATTCCTTGAAGTTTCATTACACAGCTATATTTCCAAGAGGATTTAACCTCAAATTTTCGAGGGAGGACTAGTCCTGTAAAATGATCACAGGCTAAATAAACCAATTATGCCTGTGAAGTGCATTTAGCACCTTAATAAGCAGAAGCTCTGCATTATTATGCTTCTTCATGTAAAAGAACTGCCGTGCCACAGAAATGAAGCTCTGGCTCTGTACTTGAGCTTGAAGTTTTTAGGGCTGTTTGAAGGAGCCTTGTGACCAAATGCAGAGTGTAATGGAATGCTTTTTATATTTTGTAACACTTAATCATCGCTTCCTGCTTTTGACATGAACCAGGCTGTGCTCTTTGATAAGGCCTTCCGGTAGCTCATAGATGCTTAGGAATTTAGTAGCACAATAACTAAAAATAATTTTGTTCATAAATAACGAGACCATGTGAAAGGGAGTTCTCTGTATCTTTCTTTTTCCATTTGTGCACACCCACACTGGAAGTAGGTATTGTTGTTTGGAATTCCCTTGTTTGAGCAGTTCCTCGCATTCACACTTAAACATTGTTTTGATTTATTTTATTGCTGCTCTATAAATCTGACGTAAAACGAAACAGAAAACTTTGGAGCTATTGTTTCCAGGGACCATTGTAATCCAAAGCTATTGGATTATATCTTCCTATGACACAGCTCCCCCCTGTTCTGTAGTTACATATGTCTGCTTTGACTGAAGGATTCAAGCCCCTTGTGAAAGGTGACTTACCTTGCAGGTTCCCAAACTGTTTATAGCTAACCACTGTACTGTGTAGTAAACTTCTCTCCCCTCTCCTTTAAGATTTTGTAACCTACTTGGAGTGTCAGCTTTGCTTCAGTTCATATCAAAGCAGGAAACACAGTGGGACATAATGAAATTTGTGAGTGTAGAGAGGGCACAGATTCTTTGGCTGTTTTTTCTTCTTTTTTCATGTTTAATTAGACATTCTGATAGTTACGTGTTCTGCAAGGCAAAGCCATTCTGCCTCCAACTTTACTGACACACACGCCAAGGTCAGAATTGGCCTGTATTTATAATGTTGGCTTAGGATCAGTTATGTTTTGGTCAAAAGGAAATATGAACCTTGCCTGTGTAAGCATTCCAGAAGAGGTCAGTTCAGAGGCACAATGGAGAGAAGTACTGCAGAAGCACTTGTGTGCTGGATGGTCCTACCTTATACTGCAAGGTTTTGTGCAGATAAGTCAATGGCCAGCACATCCCTTTTTTTGACACATGGCTAGTTGTATTCTTATAGCAGAAATACAGAACAACATGAAAACCTGTCAATTGTTCCCACAAGGAATCACCAAAATGCTTCAATATTTTAGTGACTTCTGTTTTGGTTAGAGCAGACAAACCCCAAACCCAATTTTTTGTTATATTTTGTGTGTTTATTTTTTCAGACAGAGGCTGTGTCAGCATCTGTTAGTGATGGTAAGGTGGCACTAATGGAAACAGGTTGTTTCTGTGTCACAGTAAGGATGTAAACATGCTGTAGAATAGATCTGTACAAATCAATCTTCTCTTTCAGTGATTTTAGAACTCATTTCCTTTATATATTTGAAAACTAAAAGACGAAGAAGCCAGGAGAAAATTTTCCTAACTGCTTTTTGTGTGTTCTCATTGCAGGCCAAGACTTTAAATGGCATTTGTGACAAAGCCATCCGATCAACCACAGACCCACTGATGAGCCAGTGTGCCTGTCTGGAGGAGGTCCATTTAACCAATATTAAACCTGGGGAAGGCCTGGTAAGAAGCAAGGCTGGAGTGTCCTGATGTTCCCAGTATTTAATAGGTAGCCCTGTGAGCCAATGCAAGTGTGTTTTTATAATAAGGTATTTCAAATCCAATAGTAATCTGTGGGGAAAACAAAGAGGCACAAGAAGGAACCCTAAAGGTCAGTTGTCAGGTGGTGTGCTGGAGTGGCTGCCAGGCACAGATATGCACATTAATAGGCTTGATCCCAAATATAATTTCTGAGGGAGAAGGCAATGAGAAATTATGTTTCTATTTTGAAAGATGCCTTTTTTATGTTTTTTGTAGCAAGATAGAGATGAATGGGAGAATTTTGGAGGTTTGCTGTTAGCAGGAAAATGAGAATTTTTAAACTCTTTGGTGGCCATGTCTTATTACTGACTCTTATTCGTTCAATGGATTCTGCTTAGCTGAGTGCTGGTTATGAGAAACTTAATTTGAAATCTCGGTGGATTTTCTGTCTAGGGAACAGATGTGTTAGAATGAGTTGTAGGGAATTTAAATTGTTATATGCATTTGTATTCACTCCTAGCCCTGAAGGCAGGAGAGATGAGCATTTTTAGAGAAAGCTGCACAGTCTTACCTAGACCAGTGGATTAGACTGAATCAGTCATGCATTTTTGAAATTATGGGAACCTCTTTGTTAAAACACAAGCTACATCGAAGCAGAGCCAGTCTAGCTTGGCTTAAATATGAAACAAGGAGGTTGGTACACCCAATTGGATACTGACAGGAAAACAGGCAGAGAACTGGCTGGAGAGAAAGGGTCAAAAAGATCATCTAATTTTCTACTCATTTTTAAAGTAAGTGTGGTAACTTTAAAAGCTAAGCTGCTTTCAGCTTCTGATTAACATCCAATTCTGTACTTCTCAGTGTGAGTGTTTCTAACAACAGATGTAGAAAGGAAAAGTAGTTATGTATTTGTTCATAAATGATGAAATCAATGTGCTGGTCACTGTGGGATCTCAGTCTCTCAGAACTGGGGTGCAGGGTGAACAAGACCCCCCCTGGGGGGCTCGGGAGTCCTGGAATGCTGCCAGAAATGTCTGGTGGCTGGACTTTGATCCCACATGGGAGATGACATCAGTATGAGGACGGGAGGATTTCACTGGGGTGAATGGTGAAGGGACAAGTTAATTGGAGTGTGAGATACAGGGTTTAAGATCCCTGTACAGGGGGGTCTAGAGAGGCAAGATGGAGGGATTGGGGCGTGCCCTTCTCCTTCTTCTTCTTCCTCTGGGCCTCCATCTTCTGTGGTGATGTTGGCACTCCAGGATTGGACCTTACTAGGGGAACACTGGTTAATAAGGGTAGAGGGTATTGGAGAAAAATGATAAATATTGTATACGTAACTCCGGGTATAAAGATAGGTGACCGCCCCAGGGGCTTTCAGTGTGTGCCCATGGCTGACTGCTGAGCAGAACTCTGTCAGGCCAAGAGAAAATCTTTTAGATAAGCAATTAATAAACACCGAGACCGAGAACAAATCTGAAGCTTCCTCTCGTCCTTTCGAACCCGGGGGCCCAAGGCCATCTTTGGGCTTTTCCCCAGACCATCTGAACAGCCCAGAAATCCCACAGGTCACCTCTTGTGGGAAATCTGTGTAATTATTAGTTAATAGCCTGTTCATGATTTTTAATTTGATGTTCTTATAGTCAACACCCACTTCATCCAGTTTGTCCTTGTGTTCACACTCAGCATTAGCCTACAGAGCCACAAATACTCTGCTGGAACTTTAGTGCTTATGTAAGCATTGTGGTTATGAGGCTGTCTGTGTATTGACTTACCAAGAGAAGCTGTAAAAGAACATGTCAGCAGTACTTGTAGCCCATCTGTGTGGGTCTGCTCTGTTTGGAGAGAACTGATGGCCTCCTAGTAAAACCTGTCATCCTTTAAAGCAGGCTGGGTAGTAAGGAAATAAAATTCTGTTCAAGGCCAAAGTCTGACAAGGCAGAAAAATCAGCAGTGTTTGGTATGACCAACCAGAGAGTGTTTCTGAGTGTTATTCCATACACTAGGTGTTTTAAATCATTATAAATATTGTAATAAATTACACTAAAAGTGATCTGTGAAGAAGTTTAGAGTGTTGTAATATTAGACTACACACTTTTTAAGGGAGAATATACAAATTGTTAACTGTTTTTATTAATGCTTTAAGTCTGTTGCCAACAGTGTTTTAATCAGATAAGTTATGTGGTTTGTTTTGCCTTTAAACTTGTTTTTCATTTATTCTTTAGGGAATGTACATCAAATCAACTTATGATGGATTGCATGTAATTACTGGAACAACAGAAAATGTAAGTGCAGCAAATATAGATTATCTCAGACAGCGGCTTTGATTGAGTTAGTTTGACTTACTACTTTTTGTTGTTTTAGACATGACTTGCATGGCATTACTGCTTTAAGTACTGCGTGATCCAGCGTTTGTTTTTCCACAGTTTGTAAATATTTTGTGCCTGCATGTTTCACTGTTAGTCTGATTAAACCAGTTTCTGCAAGTACACAAATTAGTTCAAATTTTTGGCATTAAAGTAATTACTTTAATAAGTTACTGTATCTGCTGTTCTGAGCTCTTATGGTATCTTGCTTAACAAAGTCTTGGATGTATTTGCTCTCCACTGGCAAAGGCAATCTTCCCTAATGGGAGCATTTAGGTGGTGGTGTGCTAAATTCAGTAATGAGTAATTAAATCAATGAGCTGTCCCATGACAAAATTACCTTGCAGACTAAAACAACTATGAACAAGTAAGACTTTAAGAGTGGTCAGCTGGAAGGAAGTAGTTGGCAAGAGAGGCAACTAGTTTTTTACTGCAGGTGGTTCCTTGTTTTATTTGTACACTGAGTCCTTTGCAGCTGAGAGTTTATTGAAGGCTTCTGGGCAGCCCTTGAAGGAGTAGACCTCTAGCCAGCAGCTGAGGCTGGCAGGTGATGCTGTGGAGTTTTCAAACAGGCTACTACTGTCCAGGAGCAGTGACTGAAAGAAAAAAAGAGCAGAGAAAGTTGGCTTTTGCAGCAATGCTTTTTTTATTTTTTTTGTGAATAGGAAAGAACCAGTGGTTCTAATTGTTCCCTTGCCAGGTCCAGGGACCTGGCAGGAGAGTGTGGAAATCTGTGCTTGCAGAGTATAAGCTTCTATAGCTTTGATGCTGTTGTCCTGGCATAATTTTATATAGGATTTGCCATAGAGGCCATGTCCACTTCTGCAGCAATTTTAACATCTGATAAATGCAAAAGAATGTAATGTTGACTGCTGACAAGCTGCCTCTGCATGTAGGTCTTGGGTCTGTATTCCTTCTGTAGATTTGAGTGTTGACTTAAGTGTCTGCTTTTTGTTATCAACACTGGCTCTTCCTTTGGGGAATATCCTTCCTTGGGCAAAATTCCTTCCTTTGGAGCAACAGAACTTGGCAAGCAACTGAGAGATCTGCAAGCAACTGATGGCTTTATGGTGGTGTGGTATCATTTAGATGACCCAGGCTGGATCTTAGCTCAGTTTTCTTGCTAGATTTGGAATGGTATTTTAGTAGCTACCCCCAGGAGCTGGTGTATGGGATTGCAATGGAATTGCATCCCTGAATTGAACAATGGAAGAACTGGGGAAATCCATTTGGTGTGAGTCAGCCAAGAGGATCCCTGAGTTATGTCATCCTACATGAGACTTGGCATGTTGAGTTCTAGAGCTAAACTCTGCTCTTTCCTCTGCTCTCACGATGTGATGCCAGTGCTGTCACCTGTCACTTGCTGCAGGAGTTCTCTGTGCAAGGGTCCCCCACCCTCCCTCAGATGAGCTGTTGGTCACCCAAAGGACAGCTTGAAAGGAGCTTTGTTTTTCACAAACTTGACTCTGGCCCAGCATTTTTTCATGATCTTGGTTGACTCCTATATATGCAGCTTTCCACAGAGGCATTTCCTCTCAGAGGAAGCAAGAAGACAATGAAGAAATGGGGTTACTCATGATAGCTGAAGCCTCCCACAAATTCCCTTGTTTTCTTCCTTTGTTGCACTGTTTATTCTCACAGTTCTTTCTCATAACAAAGTTACATGAGGTCTAAAGGTGTGATGAGGTGGAGAAGGGAGTCCTTAATCCCAGTGCTTAGTTCTGGAGTCACTAGGAAGAGCTGGCCTGCGGCCTGGTGGTTACTCATGGGGTGGAGGGAATGGGAGGAGTTGCTCTCCTGTGACCAGGGTGCAGCATGTACCAAGGTAGCATGTGTGTGTGCTTTGGGTGTTGTCAAGGCTGGTAGGAGTTGGTGTGTTACAGCAGTGAGAGTGTTTTTAATAACTGCAGTGCAGCAAAGGCTGGTGCATTGCACCAGCTGTTGATAAATCTAAATATTGACATACTTATCTGTTTCTTGCTAACGGCTCCCCAGAGCTTAGGTTTTGTTCCAAGAAAATTGTATTTTAAAGTGTATTATTATTAGATAGGTATTTGAAAAATACCTGTCTGTGCAAGTATTTTTATCTGCTGACTTTAGTGATTCAGGCAGGCAGTTTCACATTAAAGTCAGAAGCTTCTATTTACATTGGAAAACAAAAAGAATAAGTGCAAAGGATCTATCTTGTGGATTGGAAGGGTTTTGATCCTTTGTTCTGTACATTCAAAGTCTTGAAGTATTTTTTAACATAAATACACATTTGTTTAAAATTTCTTTAAGATGGTTGTTGTGTTCGGGCAGAAATCCTCCTCCTGCCCCTTCCATTACTGTCTAAAACTATAGTATAAACTGGAGGGAAACGGAGAGTGGAGACTGTCCCATGACTTAAATGCAATTTGGTCTTTAACAGATGGGTGGTATGCCTTCTCTCTTTCCGTTTAGTTCCCCCAGCATAAAAATAAATAATTCAATTCATTAATTTACATTTCTCAAGTCATCAGCAGAGGTGAAAATTACATATAGCGAAAAATCATTGCTGATGCAGCCTTTGACTTAGATTGGTGGGGGCTGTTTTGGGACAGAGGGAGACCTGATGCAGCACATGACTCTTGTTTTCCTCTTTGTAGTCCCCTGCTGATCGCTCCCAGAAGATTCACGCTGGTGATGAAGTGATCCAGGTTAATAGGCAAACTGTGGTGAGTAACTTCCCTTATGCTTGCTCTGCACCACAGGGGCTGAATGGATGGGATCAGGAGGCAGTTCTGATGTTTGAGGCTTTTTAACATTTTATTTTCAAGATAAATTTTATTATTTGCAATATTTTGATAAATATACAGTATTTCATGTTAAAATGCTTTATGCATAATATTAAAATAGTTCATGTTTCATTTAAGACCTGTTTAAAATGTCTTGTTACAATCCACTGAAATGCAGATAAAGAGCTTAAAATGCCCCCCAATAATTTGCAAATGATTGTCCAATCATTTGCATCTGGGAACCTGGATATAATGATTGCATTTTTGCTTAGCACATTAGGCAATGCATTTCAATGTGAGAAAGAAACATGACAAAATAGTTCACTGTGAATCCCTGTGTTAGTCAATTTGAGCATATCCATGTGTCTAGGACTGGAACTTGGGTATAAAGAGCACTGCTTGATATCTTAGTATTTAGTTTACAGCTTAAGTAGAGAACTTGTAAAGAAAATGAAGAACCTTGCAAAAAAAGAGCTTTCCGTTTTTTTTTTTTAATTAAGATGGCGTTTTTGGAGTCCCTTATTTCTTCTAGGTTCATGCCAAAACAAGCTGTCTAAGTTGGGAGATTTAGGTTTTTCTTGTTTGTTTGCTTTCAGAAAAGAAATGCCGAATAAAAGATGTCTTTATTCTCTTCCAGGTTGGATGGCAACTAAAAAATCTGGTGGCAAAGTTGCGAGAGAATCCTGCTGGAGTTAGGCTGCTGCTTAAGAAACGTCCTACCGGCTCTTTTCATTTCACTCCTGCTCCTCTGAAGAACCTGCGCTGGAAACCACCCTTGGTGCAGGTGAGAGCCCGCCAGCTCCACTCTCATCTCAGGATGGGAATGCCTTGGTTGCAGCTGGAAAAAAAAAAGAAAAATCTTAGAAATGCCCCAAAGTGCTTGAGTATATGTCAAGGCAGGTTAGGTGAAATGGCTGTCCTCCTATGGAATAAAAAAGAAAATGTGGTTTGTTTTTTTTGGTGGTTTTTTTTTTTTTTCTGTTTCCTTGCTACCAGATAATGCCCTCTTGGTACACAAAGGGACTAGGTGTGCTGAATATTTGAATCAGTCTGTGTGCCACTGGGAGAACTTATCTGAGGCGAAACTGCTGATATGTATGGAATTCATCAGCGTGGAGCAATAAATAAATGCTTTCTCTGTTTATCACAGTAATATGTTTTTGCTGAAATAGCTTAAGACTATTCCATATATTTGTCCTCTTTTTAGGCTAGTGAAGGGGGAGAGTGGTTTTTTCAAAAAAATATTTAAACTGCTTGTTTAAATAAGATTTGGTTGTTGGGCAATTCACAGATTGGGTTCTGAGCAGACAGAGAAAGTGATGTTAATAATTCTTAAATAACCATGTTGAGGAATGGCGTGTTGCATTAGGAAACTTAGGGCTTAATGCTTGCAGGAGTGAGCAACCTAACTGAATTTGTACTAATTATCTGAAATTAATAAAACCAGGGAGAGTTCCCCTTCCTCCTCCTGTTGTGATACAGGTCTCCCTACAGCCAAGGGGGTAATTTAAACCTGTAAAATGCTGGTGGCTATCACAAGTCTCCATGAGGGCAGATTTCTCTCAAAATGGGTAGAAGATGTATGCTTGACTACTTGTTCATCCTTCCTTTCACCAGTGCATGTGTTCTGTTTTTGTGGCATCGTGCCTGACATGTGCTTCAGTGTGAAGAGCTGAGGTGGGCTGGCTTATAGGCTGTGCCCAGCAGTGTTTCCTTAGGGGGGGAATGATTGGAGAAGAAAGGTCTTCGAAACCTTTTCTCTCCTATAGGCAGACAGGAACCTAGAAAAGTTCTGAGAATTTATAGAAGTGAGGTGCAAGGATGAGCAATACCAAATGTATTTTTAATTTGCTTCCCTGGTCCTTATATCCATTGATTCAGTCTATGGTGAACTTTACTATATTCCTGTCTGTGCTCCAGGCATTGGAGTGTATGGAATAAAGGTAGCATCTGCCAGCTTCACAAGGCTTGCTAATCATATCTGTATTAAACAAATTGCTTTCTTTTAACACATCTAAATATAGAAGAGGGGGTTTTGTCTCAGTTGCTTTTTTTGTCTGTGTAATTTACATGAAAAATAGAACTGGAAAGAGCAAAATATGCTTGAGCAATGCATTACCCATGATAGGACTTCTGTGGGAGGGCCTGTAAAGCTAGCCAAGACTGAGGGTGGAGGAAAATGTGAACTCTAAGAGTTTTTGAAGTGTCCATATATCACAGAGATAGTAGTTCACTAGGGGATGAAAATGGTGCTATTGATTATTAAGTTATCTTTTTGTGAATGATAAATGAATGTTCAGATGTTTGATAGCTGTTTAACATTTCAGACCAGTCCCTCACCAGCTTCAACTCAGTCACCAGAAAGCACTGTGGATACCTCACTGAAGAAGGAGAAGCCAGCCATTTTGGATCTGTACATACCCCCTCCACCAGCTGTTCCATATTCTCCTCGGTATGCAAACAAACCTGCACCACTCACACAAACCTCCTTCACTGCGCTTGTTTCTGAGCTGGCTTGCTGTTAGAGCTCTGTGCAGATTAGCTTGAGGAAGTTGCAGATCTCAAACTTTCTTCTAGCTGCCTAAATTAGTTGGATTGCTTGAATTTATGCTTAAATGTGTATACTACCAGGATTGTAGCAGATTTTATTACTGGAAGATTGTGTGCCATAGAGAGCAGAGTTGTTCCCAGAACATGACACCAATGTCATCAAAACCAGAGATGTTATGTTTCTGACTCTGTTTAAATCCAACTGCACACAGCAAGAAGTAATTTTTGTCCCTCACATTTTTCACTGATGGATTTTTTCTTTTTTAGCAAGTTGAGTAACTGTTGTGGGAGTTAGGATGGAAAAGAATGTCACGTTAAATGACGCCTATCACGTTAAATTTTTAAACTTGCAAGTTGTTTAAAACAAATATGTTCCCACTGAAGGGAAGGGAGAGGCAATACATCAACTCTTATTTTTTTTTATCCTGTGGTGTAAGCTGTAAAAATGCAGACCTGTATACACAGTGGGAGGGAGAGTGGTGTATATGGTAAGGCTGACTGTTGTTTCTTCTCAAGTCCATGTTGACTCATGCCAGAACCTTGCCAGCTGATCTGGGAATGTGATGGGAAAAAAGTGTTTCCAGGCAAGAAGTGAAATGCTGGCATGCTTCCTGGCCTTCCCTGACATTTTAGGTTACATGTAGGTAGCCCAGCACAGAAACTGTGACCTTTTGCTGGAAGCCTTGTGGGAGGGCACTTGCCTCCTGCCATGTAAGGGCTGATAGAGAGACAGAGGTGGTATTACTGCAGTTTTTGGGGCAGAACTGGGGCAGGGGCTTGCTTAGGTAGAGTCTCTTTACTGAAGTTGGACCCACCTTGAGTTGCTCTTGCCTTGCTTTTATGGTTACACATGCTCAGTTCTTATTACAAAACCCTCAAATCTTTAAATCTTTTGGCACAATAACAAGCATGTAGATTTAGCAGATGAATGCCTTAGTTGTTTCTTCAAATCATTAAATATCTCAAGCACATTGGTGAATTATGTCCACGTGCTCAATTTGTTTATCTTTCCTAAAGAGACACAAAATTATATCAAGCTTTGAATGCCTTTAGACCTGAATCCCTGTTGAAAAGGACAGAAATCACAATATGAGATTTAAAATTCATCCTGGATGATGGATGGAAAGGGAAAGGCATCTTGACTTTAACTTTAAAGAAAGTAAATGTGAGAAGCTATGGCAGGCAGGAAGAGGAGAAAGGACAATTCTTTTGCCTTCTGTTTGGTCATTTATTTTGACCTCTGCATGTTTTGCTTTTCTCTTGAAATTGTGGTGCATTTGTGTGATGGTTGCTTTTTTCCCCCCCGCTCAACATCCTGCTCTCTTCCCTTCCTGGCACAGATCTCCTCTGCACCACACTGGGAGTCAGAGAGCAGTGTTTGGTTTCCCTCCCCATGGCACAGTCTCCACATGGTGGTGGTGTAGGAGAGCTCTCCACATACATACATTTCTGGTGCAACTTGAGTGCAATTTTTGGTCTCTGCATCTCCATAAATTGCTCCTTCCTGTTCACTGAGCTTGTAGCATTGTTCTTGCTGCAGAGCTGGACAAGTGGAATGTACTGTCCAGGAACTGCTATGAACACTGGGGTATATGTGTGCTTAGGCAGTCAGCTATGTGTTTAGCCTGACTTGGCCAATGGTTGCTTCAAGCAATAAGATTGTAGCATGTAGAAAGGGAAAAAACCTCCAGGCAAATCTTAACTTAAAGGGTACCTTCTCTTCCAAAAGTACTTGCAGAATTTCATCAAAATCATATATGTGTATATATATATATATATATATATATACACACACATATAAGCACACTGTGAATCTGTTACTGAAACCCTCAAGGAGGGAGAGAGAAGGTGGCAAATATTCAGTGACAGGTATTGGACTCCTATAATGACTGAAAGGCAGAGACTCTCAGATGGAGGTAATAGCTGTTACCATTACACATGCAGAGATGGATAAATTTATGTAGCACTCCTGAGTCAAATCTGTATTTGAGCAGGCAGCAAATCAGGGGCTTTGATGCCCTCAGGACGGTAAGGTCTCATTTATCAAAATCTTTTGGATTTTGGAGGAATGGAGCCTCTAAATTTCTCAGTGTTAAATTACTGGCTCATTAAGAGTGATTTACCATGAGGAGGGTAGCTTTCTTTTCTCCTTGTTAAATATAGTGAAGTCTTCTATCACCTGACTTTCTTGGGGGTTTCTTCCAGCTTGTTTGCAGCACAATGCCAGTTGTCACGAGCATGACTTGCTGCTAGAAGCATCTTTCAGACCTATTCATGTCTGTAGCTTTAAACTCTTTCAAGGCCCTAATGCAGTGACCTGTCCTTTCAGAGATGAAAAGGGGAGCTTTGTGTATGGAGGAGGCAGCAAACGCAGTCAGCCCCTGCCTGGGTCCAAGGGCGCTGAGTCTCCCAATTCTTTCCTGGATCAGGAGAGCCGGAGGCGGAGGTTCACTATTGCTGATTCTGATCAGCTGCCTGGGTATCCCATGGAAGTAAATGTCCTACCAGCCAAAATGAGAGAAAAAACCCAGTCCTACGGTGAGTTCATTCCTCTCTGGTTATCACTGTTGTGATAAGGGCTTGGATCAGTCTGAAATTATTTGTCTTAGAAAACTGCGTGTTGGGCTTGATTGATATTAAGGCCATTTGTACAAACTGTGAATCTGAAATTCTGTATCTGAAATAATGTCTCTTAAAACTCTGTTATTTCTCTAATGAATGTCATTCAGTTGGGGTCTGCTGCTACAGAGCACCATTTCCAACTGTGATTTGCTTATAACATTATATATATATATATGTAATATTTATATATATATAATATATATATAAATATAATATTTGCTCTAAATGAGCAAGAGGGCGGCTGTTTAATCTCAGCACACTGATTTCTTATATGTCACTGGTGGAATTATCTTTGGATATTCTTTTTTTCTGCAATTTGAACTCCTTATTGCTTATCTCTCCTTTGCTTAACTGGGAAAAGTAAAACTTTAAAAATTGGTTTCCTCAACTTTATATAACTCCTCGTAACCTTCTATGTTGTCTCTAGGAAAACCTCGTCCTTTGTCAATGCCTGCTGATGGAAGCTGGATAGGTGCTGCAGAACCCTTCTCTAGGCCACGAGGATCAGGGAGAAAAGGCAAGGTTTTAGATTTTATCCCTCATTCTCTTCCTCACTGAAATTTCCTTGGGGTGAACTACATGAAAGTGTTTAAATTAGGAATGGAGGATTGTGGTTTGCATATTGCTGAATTGATGCAAGGTGACCATTGTTGGGTTTGGCAGAAATGCGAGATGGTAACTGAAATTTCTGAGGCTATTCAGTGATGGGACTCAAATCTTCTGCCTCAGAGTTGTAGTGAGCATTAAAAGTTAGCTAGAATGACTAGGGCAGATCTGTACTTGTGATTTTATAGCTCATTTTCCTCTTACACACAGCCCCTTCCCTTTCTACTGCATTTAATATTGATCATGAAACTACTTTTGTGCTAAGTCTTTTTGTTTAGTTCACTGTGGAGGCTGTTGAAGAAGCAAGCTTGTTCACAAAATGTAAAGTGTAGGGCCTTTTAGGAGCTGCTTTTTACTGCTACTGCTGTTAGAAAGGAAGATATTCTGCAGGCATCACTGAATGGGAGAGAGAAAGAAGCTCATAACGTTTTGTGTTCAGTTGGATGGCATTTTTTACTTCCCACACTGTCCTCTTCCCACCTTCTTCTGCATTTGAAAGACTATTTGAGTCCTGCTAGAGTGGGAAATAAGGATGACTAGTTTATTCTTGGAATCAGTTATGAAAGCTAATGTCTAATTCTAGGTAAAATCAAAGCTGGATTCTATTATTTTCATGTAAAAGTAGAAGTTGATGATGAGAAGCATCAACCTGGAGGGATACTAACAGAGCGATCACCAGGTGGCAGGGCTGGTTTTTGTGTGTGTGGTTTTTTGGTTGGTTTTGCCTTTGGTTTTGTGTTGCCTTTTTTAATGCTTGAAATGTACTTAAGTGCTGCAGGCTTGGACCTAAGATGTGTTGGATCAGAACCAAAGGCCTGCCTAGTCCAGCAGGAATTCTTTAGCAGCAGCTGCCTTGGTCAGGTGTCTGGGGAAGAGTTAAAACAGAGAAAGCATCATGAATCACTGGTCAAAATCAGGGAGGGAAATGCTTATATCTTCACCTGCAAAATTAATTTCTCTTGTCCAAAGTAATATTTGTAGCTTTTAAGTTACTCATGAGTTACTGGGAAGTTTATGGATTCAACTCTGGTCTCTTCAGCATTTTGAATAACACATTAGAAGAAGATTTGTTAAATATCACCTATGGTAATCATTTGCATGAAAGTAGTCTGTATCATCATTTTTGGTGTGTGTGAATCTGGAATGTAACAGTCAAATGGTATCTATCTCCTCTGTGTATGGATTTATTTCATTATTGTGTCACTTAAAAAACATTAAAGATGCAAAAAGCTGTGAATCTATTGATAGCTGCTTATGTCCAGGTGTTTTATGAACAAAACCCCAGATCTAGGTATTTGAAGTGTAACCAGAATACTTTTATAAAAATGGAAAATGTTAATGGAGGCTTTTGAAGTCAGCAATAATTGTTTTTTCTCCTCCTGTTTGTACAGGTGAAGATGTCCTCTGCAGGTACTTCAGCAATGAAAGGATACCCCCCATCATTGAGGAAAGCCCCTGCACGCAGCACCCTCTCTCCAGGCCGGTGTCTGACAAGCAGTTAGTGAGGGGAACGGATTATATTCGAGGCAGCAGGTGCTTTATGAACACAGACCTCCACAACAGTGCAACAATTCCTTTCCAGGAGGAAGGTGCTAAAAAATCATCAGTCACATCATCCACGAAATCCTCCTCGGCAGAGCCCTCGCTGCTGGTCAATTGGTTCACGAGACTGAAGCTGTTGACTCACTGACTTGTCCCCAGCGCTGTCACCAAGTGCCTTTGCTCGTCAGTCACACTTCTCTACTCTGCAGCTTAACTGACACACACTGACTAATGCAGTATTCTGTTCCTGGAGAATCTCACACTTTAGCCTTTTTTTTTGTCATTTTTGATGGATCAGAGGGTTTCATATAGTGCAAGGAGGGAGGACAGATCAAGTTCCTCTTCCTGGCCAAAAACTGAAGGTGTTTATTCCCATGGAAATGAGTAAAATTTCAGTGAGGTAGAGGCCACAAGTGACCTGGGAAATGTGTAATTGCTCAGAGGAAAGCATTGCATTACCGTGAAGTCCAGTGGCATTTAGTTGTCTGAATGCTCAGAGGCTGGTGCAACTGGCAGGGTGTCAGAGATCACAGAAGTTGTCACTCTCCTGACTGGGAAAATAAGCAGGGAAACAGCAGTTTCATGCAACTTGGTGATGCTGTTTCAAGTACTGCATGAGATCAACCTTGTAAGGAAGAATTAGTGGATTTACCACTCTTTCTCTGATATCCAGAGTTCCTATGAAGTCTTAGGAAGAGAGTTCTCTTATTCAGAGATTTTAGGAAGTTGGACTAATTTAATTATAAATCAATCCAACCTTATATATATAATCTATTTTATTTGAAATCACAGTACAAATAAGGAGCACTGAACAACTGCAGTGCTCATCTGTAAAGGTATATGGATTGCTACAACAAGCCAAGGAAATGCATCTGTAGAGGTGGTGAAAGAATATATATTTTTTCCTTAATTGTTTAAGAATGACTTGCTGTTAACCAAAGTAACCTTGAAAGACAGTCCTGTTGGACTTATGAGAACTTTTACAGTGGTTCAGTTTTTGAATGATATGTTGTTTTTATGAAAAATATGTGCTATCATACACTACAATTGTAAGACATCTTGCTATTTTCTATATAGCTCTAATTTTTACCCCTCCAGAATTTTAAAGTAGCCTTGGGTATTTTGGGAGGAAAATAAAACTTGTTTAACAAAAGAGGAGGATATTAAAGAGGTATTGTTTAAGAAGGAATGTACATAAGATTGTTAGTATGCAAACAGTTGTGTTTAAAGTTATTTAAATGTCAAATATAGTTGTATATATTTTTACATTTAAACAGATAGAGTTTGTACCTTCCTGTATTGAAGTATTGGGCACAGCTTAGTCAAATGAAAAGAAAATAAGATTTTGTATTACCTTCTAATTATAAGACTAACTATTTTTGTAGATGATACATTGCTGACAGCCTCTACTCCTTTGGTCTTGCTGAAAAGAAGGATTTGTATTTAATGATTGGTGGGGAAGGAGGGGAGTTAAATGCTAGTTTACACTTAGGACTGGGGGAGGAATCACATGTGATAACAGGATGTGAAACACACACTGTAATTCTGTCTGTGAAGATGTCACCATTCTGCTTCAACGAGCTGATGAAGTTGTGCTACAGCCCCACAAAGAGAGACAGGGTGTTTCATTCACTTCTCAATTAATTGTGCTTGATTGTGACTCACTAATGACTGGAGAGGCTGGTTTGGCCCTTTCTGATCAAAGCAGACATGTCTGTCTTGTGCCACTCTCCTCCACTCCCTGAGATGGCAGTCTGTACTAGACATGAGCTGCTGCTGTGCAGCCAAACCCTGACACAGGTTGGTCCTGCCTCCAAGAAAAGGGCTGAAACTGCCATGTTGTGGCCTCTGTGGTGTAGTGTAGTCCAGCCTCAGAAAGGCTGAACTGTTCTAAAGGTGTTGTCCAAACAAGACTTTTAAAATGGAAGTTCTGCTCATCTTCAGTGTTGTGTTTTCTGTACTTAAGAAATGAATGGGAACCATTATGCTTAACCTCTTATTGTGTGTAGAGAATATAGAGGATGCTCTACAGTTTAGGGGTAAAAAAACTCCCACAGATCTAGGAATAAATCACAGCTGATTTTCTGGCTTAACATGAAAAAATTCTGCTATTATACAAAAACTTGGCTCATCTCTTGATGTTAAGAGATGAGCTTGATGTTGAAGGTACGTGTATCTATCCAGTCAAAAACTGTACCTAGGCTGACTTCCCTAATGAGTACCATGTACATTTCCAGATGTTCTGCCATGGTACAGTACTCCACAATACTCTGAAAACACTGTCATGGTGGAAAAACAATACAGTTAATTGGAAAAAATCATAAACCCCACAAAAATGGAAAATAATATTTAGTACTGTTGCATATATGTATAGTGTGGATCGTGCACTTTTGGAATATTGAGCAGGCTTCTGTTGAAGTCTGTAGAATACATGAAAGCCAATACCTTGGATTTATCTTACATAACCATTGCAAAAAAAAAGTCCTATTTTGGATTGTAATGTATGAGAGGAAATAAGACATAAAAATGAGCACTAATGGCTTGTAGAGACAGAGTGCAGGGAAATTCTCCAAGCCATATGTTTCCTCTAGTATTCATGGACAATTAAATTAATCAGTGTTTGAATTCTGGATGACCAACAGAGGTGGACACAGTACTGAGAGTATTATACTAATTTTGTGCTAATCAATGAGCCAATAGCTTTTCCTTCCTCATAAGCAGGGCTTGTTTTACAAGCAATGTGCTCCATAGTCTTGGTGCTCATTGAACAGAAAGGAGAGAGAGTAAAAATCCAAAACTTAACCAAACCAGGAAACAGATGGTAAAGACTAGCTTTAAAGTTGGAGAAGATACAGACTTTTCTTCTTGCATAAATGTTTCTTTAGTCCAAATCTTGCATCCTGTTTTATTACACTGCCACCAGGCAGTCTTCACAAATTGCTCTATATCTGTAATCACATCCTGAATAGACCAAGTTAAACCTCACATCAGGCTTTACCTTAGATCTTGGTGAATTCAGCTCAAACCCTTTTTTTTGCAGGTTTTACTTCCCTTGGAGCTTTCCTGCATTCATCATTCAATTTTTGGAATATCTTGCACATGATCTGAGCAGAAAGGCTTTTGTGCTCATGCTTTCTCAGAAATGCCTTTGCCAGCAGGATTGGTAGCTCAGAGGAGTGTGAATGTTGGCTTCTGCTTGAGTTTTCTGCACTAAAATATTCATCCCCCAATTTCCACCATACATCCTAGTGCACCATCTGAAAAGCGTGAGATAGAAATGCTCGTGGGCAATTGGAAAGAATTGTTGTGTCCTTTGTCCTGCTGTACAACTGTGGCTTCTTTCTTTGCTGCAGCCTGAGCTTTACTTTGCACATGCTGTGGTTATGGAGCACGTGCTCTTTGTGGCCATCACATAGGAATGCTTTTGTCTCCTTGCAGGCTGTCAGGTTTTTGTAATGGACAAGAGCTCTTGAGGAAGCCACTGACTTAACTCAGCATATTCTGTGATTCACTTAAAATGTAGAAAGAGCACTCCAAAAAACCTCAGTTTGGAGAATGAAAACAGAGGGGTCAGGCTAAGCTAAATGTATGGGTCTGTGTTGTGTTGAATGCTGCTGCAGCTGAGTGGCAGCAACTCTGCAAAGAAAGCACCCCACACAACTGCAGCATGCACACTTGTTTCTATCACTACATTTGTATGGTGCTGGAATATGAAACAAGGGCACTCTTTCAAAGCAGTTATATATAGTTCCACACACCACACTTGAGCTGTAAGATATATTGACAAAAGCAGTCAAGAGCTGCTGTCAGTGTGTAATTTCACCAAATTCTGCTGCATCGGTTTAAAATAGTAACCTCTCTTTATCCTGTTGCCTGCACAATGCAAGTCCCTAACCATCAGTTTTGTCTTCCTTTATGATAGCATCTGTGGGTAAGACTGTGTCATTCCCAAGGGACCTCGTGCAGTGGTCTGAAAGCTTAGTTAGTTTGGGTTATTCTGGACTTTGTCCAGAAGTGGAAAGTCAAATTTAAAAACTATTACTGCTCCAACATCACTTAGAGTTGGGATTTTTTTTAAATACATACTAGATCTTAAACAGGCAGGAGTTGTCTGTTGCATTCTTTGCCAGTAGAAGAAAAAATAAGGATTACAAACTCAGTGGAGGAAAAAACCCCATGCCTTTGGGTGTCCTCCAGTTCCTGCCAGTGGGAGAAATGTGTTTGTTTTAGCATGACATAGAATAGATGTAAGCATTTCTTTTTAAACCTCCCTGTGTGGTCACCTCAGTTATTCAGGATGATGTAAGCCACTGACTTTCTCCCTTAAGTGGTTATGGAGTTATCCAATATATTTTTTTGGGAGACAGTAAAGATATCTTAGACAATTAAGTGATTGATTAAGAGAGTATGGAGATGGAGTAATTAGGCATAAAGTAAGTGCCAGAGAGTGCTGTGTTATAAGGGAAATCCTTGGGGTCAGTTTAAGATTGCAGTTGCTGTTTGTTCTCTGGTGAGGGTGGTCTCCATCCCAGACAGCAGCCAGGGAATCAGAGCACAAGAAGTCCAGTTTACTGTGCTGTCTTCAGCTGAGAGGGGTAGTTGCTTGGGCTTTTTTGGTTGTTTCTGACACCCCACACCCTCCTTGGTAAGTGTAGCCCGAGTAGGAAGTGTTGAAATGTACCTGTGGAGCAAACCTGACCAGATACTGATGGATCGCTGGGCTGTGCTGACTGATGGTGCTCAGCCACCACATGTTCAGATGTGCTCTGGGAGTGCCTTTGCAGGTGAGGAGCCTCAGACCCTTCTGACCTTTACTTAGAGGCTTTTTTGTTTGGGCAATATTTACTGAGAGGCATACAAATATGCCACAGTCTAAACTGAGATTCATTGTTTTGACAGTGTATTTAATGCTTTGGGGTTTTTTTTCCCCAAGTAATTGCATGCTTCTCAGTGCTACTTATTAATGTGTTTTCCTCTTTCATCCCCCATTAGCTGTTTTCAGTACCAATGTTTCTAATAAAATCCTCATATATTTCCAGTGAAAATGTTCATAATGCCAAGTAGTCACAAATAAGCCATAAAATCTTAATCTGTAAACTGTAAAAGAGCCCCAACCAAACAAAACTCCATTAGTAAAACACAAGGAAAAAACCCACATTTTCTGCCTTGGGAATAACAACTTCATGAATAATAATGAAACTAAGGATTTTCATCCAGGTAAAAGATCAGCCAAACTTTAGTGACTGCATCTTGGGTGATTTGTTTGATTTTATTACGTGATAGTAGAAAGTGAAGGCTGTAGTTCTGGTATTGTAGATTCTTGCAGCACAACTGTGGTGTTTAAATGTGTCTCCACAGAACATGACCGAAGGCTTTCTTGGGTGTAACACAATTTTAACTG